GAGATGGGATGGGCTGGAAAGAGATGGGATGGGCTGGAAAGAGATGGGATGGGGCAGGAATGGCCTGGGATGCTCCTGAACTGGGAACACAGTTTGACTCCTTGGGATCAGATTATCTGGATGCACCCAAAGAAAGCTGTGGAGCATCCCAGAGAATCCCAGAGCTCTCCCGAGGTGACTCTGCTCCCAGAATCCCCCCTGGAGCAGCACGAGGGGAGGAGCAGGATTCGGGGGAAGGGAGGGAGCCCAGGAGGTGTTTCCCACGAGAAACATCCCAACACTCAGCCTGGGAGCTCAGGGTTTACCTGGAATTCTGAGACACTTGGAGATGCCCTTTAGACCCTTTAAATCCTGGAATGGTTTGGGTGGGAAGGGCCCTTAAATCCCATCCAATCCCACCCCCTGCCATGGGCACCTTCCACCATCCCAGGCTGCTCCAAGCTCTGTCCAACCTCGCCTTGAGCACTTCCAGGGATGGAGCATCCAGAGCTTCTCTGGGCACCAAACCTGGATTGATCCTGGACCCAACCAGCCAGAAACACCCCAAACCATCCCTGAATTCCCCAAAAACGTGCACAAACAGCCAAACCCAGCCCTCGGAGACACCGATCCCGTCACTTTTCCAGCTCTCCTCAAACCTTCTCCCTGCAAACCTTCACTCCCCCATTCCCAAGCAGCTTTGACAGGGAAGCCATTCATCTGAAAATCCATAAAAACCCTTCCAGGCTTCCAGACTTTGCCACCAACGGATTTAACTCTTCCACAGCCTCGCTTTTGTTCCCAGATGGAAAACCCCCAGGATCCATGGGAGCAGCACCTCCTTCCAGGAAGCAAAGGGCCCTGGGGGTGAGTGGAGTCGAGGGGAACCTTTGGATCCCTCAGCACATTCCTGCCCCCCTGGCACCATTCCCATTCCTCCCCACTCCAGGGCCGTGCCAGGCACAGTTAAGCCCCTGTTAAATTGGGATATGACATCAGGATACTGTACACATTCCAGGGCCCTCACTGTACCCGGGATGGGAGAGCACCTGGGAAGGAGATTCCAGCTGGGTGGCACCGCTTTGGGACACGAGGACCCAAGTTTTCACGTGCTCTTGGCTTCCCCCTCCCAAAGGAAGCTGATTAATCCCACTGGGAATCCCACCAGCAGGAATGCTGAAGGTAAAAATGGGGTGCAACTTTGGGGAAAGGGCTCCCAGCAGCCAGAGGGAAGGAATGGGAGGAGAGAGGAGCTGGAATGCCATGGTTTGGAAAGGTCTGGTGTCTCATAACCCGCCAGAAATAGAAGCAAACCCTATCCAGGGGCCTGGCTCCTCATCTCCCACTGATCCCACCCAATCCAGAGGGGGCTTCTGCCTTTCCCACCCTAAAAGGAGCCCACAAGGAGCAGGTTTGGGGGGTCAGGCACCCCCAAGCCCTGAGTTCTCCTGGGGTTCCAGGGGCACAGCCATTCCTGCAGGATCCTGCTCTGTCCCTCCAGGGCATTCCTGGCACTGCCCCAGGCCTGATTTAGCAGCCCAGGAGCTGGAGAATTTCCATTCCTTCTAATATTACCGGGAATGGCTGAATCCAGGGGGACAGCGAGCCACCCAGGGGGGCAACCCAGGTCCCTGCTGACTCGGCAAGGGCAGAGAACACCTTTCAAACCATGGATCAGCTGGGAAAACACACCAGCAAGGCACCTCTGGAAGGCAAAACACTCCAGCTTCCCATGCTGGAAGGGGCAGGAACATCAGCTGTTGGCTTGGGAAGCCCTGAGCTGCTCCACCACCTCATTCCCAGCTCCAGGAAGCCCTGGGCTGCTCATTCCTGGCTCCAGGAAGCCCTGGGCTGCTTATTCCCAGATCCAGGAAGCCCTGGGCTGCTCATTCCCGGCTCCAGGAAGCCCTGGGCTGCTCATTCCCGGCTCCAGGAAGCCCTGGGCTGCTCCCTTCCCGGCTCCAGGCGCATTCCCGTCTCCAGGACTCACCTCGATGTTGGTGGCGTTGAGTTTCTCCTCCATGACCTGTTTCAGGATCACCAGGGAGGATTTGATGGCTTCCTTCAGCGTCATGGACTGGAAAACACACAGCTCCTGGATCCCTCAGCCCGGGATGGGGCCCCTCTCCCCCCTCCCCTTCCCCAAATCCCATCAGCCGGGATGGAGCAGCTTATCCAGGGATCTGCAGCACCATCAGGGCAGGGACATCCCCAGGGATGGTGAAATCCTGCTTTTTTTTCGGCTTAAAAACTGGCACTTTGGGCACAGAAATCCCACTGGTGGGATTGGGACACGAGGGGCTGGGGTTTGGCACCCACTTCCCACAAAAAAAGCCAAATTCCCTCTTGGAAGAAGCCTCTGTGTTTAATCCCATAAATCCCTGCAGGAAGCCCCAGAGCCAGAACTGGGATAATGCCAGTGGATAAATGACTCTTCCCACCCATCACTCACCACCTGGAAAAGTGCTGATAATCCAGGGCATCGAGAATTAGGATAATTCTAATGGATAAATGAGTTTTCCCAGCCTTTTGCACTTGGAAAAGGGTTGGCAACCCTGGGAATGCAGGACTGGGATAATCCTAGCAGACAAATCACTCTTCCCACTAATTGTGCTTTTCATTAAGGTTCGGATTCCCATCTCCCTCCTTGTCGTGGAGGGGCAGGAAGTTCCTGTTGAATACCCCAAATGAGCAGGAATTCCAGCAGAAGATTCCCTGGTTTCCCAGGCCTGGCCCCCTGGGGAGCCTGATGCCAATGGCAGCGCTCGGAGCTCAGGGTTATTTATAAGGAACTTCCTGCCAAGGCTTGGATTATCCCATAGGCACAGCAGGTGCTGGAAGCAGCTCTGCTCTGGGCTGTAAAGATCCTCAGGATCCACGGGATCCTCACGGGATCCTCATGGGATCCACGGGATCCTCAGCCAAGGGATGACCCGCCCCGAGCGGCTCCGGCACCTCCTCCTCACCCCACTCCTAAATCCTCCCTGGGAAGGGAATTCGGGGATGCCAGGAGGTGCTGGGGTTCCCCAAATCCCTGGGATGCGCTTCCCAATCCCAGAGCCGTTCCTTACCTTGTGATAAACCTCCTGCAGGGAGCTCTGGGCACCCTCGGAGGCCGAGCCGATGGCTCTGGCGTCGCACTGCACGAACGTTCCTGAGGGATCCATGTGGAACCTGCGGGCACAGCGGGGCCGGCTGCATCCCAGGGATCCTCCCACCACCCCCCGGAGCTCCCGGAGTGCCTGCAGTTGGGATTCATCCCCGGGGATCCTCCCACCACCCCCCGGAGCTCCTGGAGCGCCTGCAGTTGGGATTCATCCCCGGGGATCCTCCCACCACCCCCCGG